TTGAGAATCTTCAACCCCTCACAAGGTGTTGTGCTTTTCCTGCGTTGGGTTTTTGATAGGGGAACAATTATCCGACTGTTAGTGAGGTGGGGCAGTGCCAAATGCATCACTTTGATCTGTCAAAAAAGATGGCCTGATAAGTTGTGCTGCTTGTGCTGCGAACGCGTCCGCCCTTTTTGTTTTGCGAAATCTGCTGGCATGTTCTTCCACCTTCTGAACAGAAGAGCTCCATCGGCGGAGGCCACAAGGCTGCAACTACAGGACATAGTTTCGAGTTGAAAGTCATGGGGTTTAGGGTTCAGGGGTTTCGGGTTGCAGGGCAGGGCTCATAGGAATGCTTTTCAAGTGGTTGCCGTCACATCGTTGCTTGCACTCACACTCATCCACTAACAATGATGGTGCAGGAGAAGCACGAAAAACTAGGCGAAGAAACAGCGAGGCACGGATAGGAAGAATAGCGCCAGTCGTCTAAAGCCTATCAACTGCCGTGCGGAATTCAATCCTACGCCTTTGTAATGCCCCTTCGCAAAAACCGTCTATAGAAGCCCGTATCATTCATAGATGTTACTATAAAGCCTATAAAACCCAAAAAAACTCTAATCTCAAACCCTGAGAACCGGATCCTTCCTGTGTGAGGCCAGGACGGCTCCTAACTGTTGCTCACGCTAAGGGTTTAGGGTTTAGGGTTTAGGGTTTAGGGTTTAGGGTACCGAGCTGTCTTGCATAGCTCGGGCCTCACGAGATTCAGGTTTTGAGTGTCGAGGGGGTTCAAGGTTTCGGGCTCCTGGTTTTGGGGCTGGGTTACAGGTTTAGGGTGTCGGGTTGCAAAGCCTTTGAAAGGCCCTGCACCCTGTAAACCCGTGAGCCTCAAAGCACTTCAAGTAATGTAGGGGCTAGAACAACCTCAACAAGGCCCGCTTCCCTCTCTTCCTGAGCTGATTGGCAAGGCACCCGAAGCTTGAAACCCTCCATTAACCAATCCTCAGTCCCAGGAAGCCAACGTCAAGCCTAAGCTCCTGAACTTAAAACTTCCTTAAGAACCCAAAACCCTCTTTTTTATAGGTTCTTATTATAAACCCTAATATGGGATTTATAGGGACCCTATAAAAAAGTATGTTTTGGGTTCTTAAGGTTTTCACCAACAGAGAACGACCAAAACTCCGAAGCAATCTCTGCGAAGCCAAGTCCGCGACTGCGGGGTGTGAACATGGCCTTGGGCGGCAGGGCGAGAAGCCCTAACCCCAAGACCCTAAACAGCAAAACGCTTGCACCCAGAGCTATTTTCGGGCCTTCCTGTATTGGTCGAAGACTAGGCCTAGGCTAGTGCGTACCATCAAGGACTTGTGGATCAAACCGAATTGTCATCACCTGAATCACCACAGTGGCCTTGGCCGCTGAAGCGCGTCATCATCAGCACCAGTGGACCAATCGTATTAATCATCAAGTATCTTCGTCATCATCACCACCATCATCACCATCACTGTCGCTTGCGGGAGTCGCATGTGTCCGTTCCCTGTTGGGTTGGACAGGGTCGTGGCACCAATAATATCCGCGACTTCCTAACCGCACTCATTGTGCAATAATACAGAGGCCGGGCATTCCTGCACACTAAGTAGAAGCATACCTTACGCTTGCTGCTAGGCTGTCACTGGAGATGACATGTAGTCGCACTGTTGGGCTCAACTGGTCAGTTCAAGCCTCCACAAGGCTTTTGCTTTTTGCAAACTGGCATGCTCAGAATGACACACCACATACACACGCGCCGAATTTCACTAGGAAACTCAGGCAGTCGTCGAACACCCTAAATCCTACTCCACAACAAGATTCGACATGAATGGCAGCGAAGTCGCGTCCATGAGGTTCTTGTCGAACTGCAACCTGGCGTGGACTTCGCCCCAAGACACAAAACCACTACGTATGAAACCTTACCGCCGGCATGGACCCTTCCATTGTCATGCTTGCTGGCTAGTATAGAGGTAAGCCTGACAAGAAAATGATAACCAAACCCCACAAGCATCGGCAGTTGGAAGGGCAGGTACAGCTCTGAAGCCTTCAAACGAGGCGAGAGGGGCTTCCTCTCCTGCTCGCTTTGAGTGTGGACCATCTTCAGTTCGCCGAAGATGGTGTCTTGCTGCGGCTCCTGGCATTTAGGGCTTTTTAGGGTTGAATTCAAGAGGCGTAGAGCGCAGTGGGGGTCGAATGAGGATTCATGGGGTTTAAAGGGATGTACTAGGATTGAGTGGAGCGTAACCGGGGTTTAATCGCGATTGAATCATCTAGGAACTCGATCTTGCCAAGTCTTGAAGACGGCGCGGGCTTTTAGCGTTATCTCCTTTTTTGTAGTACGGCGGCGAAGAGCTAAACCCTAAACCCTAAACTCTAAACCCTAAACCCTAAACCCTAGTTCTGGTTGTAAGGATTCTGGTGTTTGCGGTTTGGGACTTTTAGGGATTTAAGGAGGCTTACGGGGACGAGAGAGGCTTCCTTACAGGGCTCTTCTAGTGGATTCTTTCTACCCATGGGCCCCATAGTAGTTCCTTTTTGGGATTCCCGAAAAGGATCCTAAATATAAGCCACAAAAAGGGACTACTGTGGGGCCTATGGGTAAGGCCTAAACATAGCCTTTAAAACTACACTCCGTAGAGACGTAGAGTTTGTCATGTTGCACCGAACCCGGTGATGCTAACAGGCCTAACACTACTAGTAGTAAGATGAGAGTAAAAGGAATAAGAAGGTTAATGATAAGAAGAACGAAAACACTGATTGATAACAATAATAATAACAAAAATCACAGAAGCAGCAATACTAATCTTAAGACTAGCAACAATACTAAGAATACCACAATCTCCAAAACCCCAAACCCCCCAAGCTCCCTCACTCATGAACCCCAGGGTCTACATCCGAACCCCATGTCTAAACCCCTCGAGCCCAAATCTCTTGAAATCCTAACGCCCAAACCCGATCAGCTTCAAAGGCCAACGCCAGAAATCCACAATGTCACAATATATAAATCCTAAAGCCCTAAACTCCCAAACCCTTCATCCACAATGCCTGGGGCCATGCACTCCCCAGAACCTATAATCCGTCTTGCCCTAGCCCTAAAGCCCCTACGTCATCTCTTTGCACTAAAGCTCCTACGTCATCCCATCTTTTCTTCCATCTCTTTGCCGGGCACCCTTAACCTCAAACCCCAAACCCGAAACCCTCTTTCTTCGAGCTCTTCTCTTCGAAGTCCCGCGATGCACAGGGATGTCCTGGAGCCTTAAAATGGTTGGCACATGTTGGCCCTCAGGGCCATGTGGGTTCAAAGAGCGTTCAGGCTTAGGCCCTTAGGGCCATGCCGCATGTACTTCTTTGTTGTCGGCTTATTCGGATATGTGCTCTGGCCTAAAACTATGTCTGGCGTACATGTTCTCTTTATCTAAGCATGTGTGTAGATAAGGGTTACACTAACCAGAACCACGTCAACATAGACACGACTATTTGTATGGGCCTTGCTACCGGTGTTCTTTAATTAATTTGCTATATGTTTTGTCGTGGTCATCAGCTATTTCCAGTGCCGCTTGCATCGGGAATTGAGGTCAACGCTCTAAGATTCAGCATATCAGCATCTTACTCATGTGATTCGCCACAGGATGGCTGTAAATGTCAGCCATGTAACCACTGAGATCACGCTTGGCACAAGCTCATGCTCGTTTTGCCGAAAGACAAAGACTTGGATGATGTAGCAGATGAAGTAGAACAAGAACGTTGCAAACACGATGAGCATCGAAAGAAGAACGTCCCAGCGCAGCATGCAACACTGGGCTCGAAGGCGGTAGCACAAGCGGAAAAGAAGCTTGTTCATGAAGGGAAACACTGCCAGCCAGTATGTGAGCGTCCGAGCGACTTCGACTATCTGCCGGATGGGATCGCTTGCGTGGGTAGCTGCATACTCAAAGCGGAGCCAGACGTAGGGAGTGAAAAGCAATAAGATGCGTTTATAAGAGATCGCATTGTCTGCAAGCTGATCGGTGAGGGCCGTCCGCACTTCAGATTGTACTTGTGATTCAAACTGGCCAACCGAGCCATACCAATGGGCGATACACTGGAAAAGAATCTCACGATCGCATAGTTTTTCAGCTTCACCTTCATGGCCTTGTTCGCAACAAGCACTCCTCGTGCCTGCAGCCTTGAACTCGCAGAGTTGCTCTTTCAGCGTCTCAACGCTGCGTGCATACCCTCGAAGCGAGTGCGAAACGAAGAATGAACATGGAATGCCAAGGACTCCAAAGAAAACAAGATGGATTGCCGCCGAAAACTTGGAATCTTCCGAAGATGCCAGAGCGATTTCGCTGTAGGCATACACTATACATGCTAGGCAAAATAAGATCTCGCCGCCGAGGAGTGCTGGGCCAAGTAAGGGAGGAATAATCTGCAGAACTGCCTTGCTGCCTTTCGTGCGGCTATGTAGAAAGGCAGCTATTTCGAAGACGCACCACCTTGCATCTTTTACGGAAACGCAAAACGACATGCTGCGGGTGAAGGCCTGAATCCCGAACTCTAAACCATCTAAACCCAAAGCCCGAAACCCGGAACCCCAAACCCACACCCCTACTCAGCCAGATCGCAATCTCGTCACCCAGGCTGGATCCCAGAACACCTGGGCTTGGAAGTTTTCAGGGCGCGAGAAGGATACATATTTTTGTTCACAATGGTTCCTTTAAGGAGCAGGTCCTAAACCCTAAACCCTAAACTCTTGAAGCCCTAAACACTCAACCCTATGAGCCCCAACTCCCCCTCCCCTCCCCCTCCTAAACCCGAACCCCTAAACCCTAAACCCCAAAACCCCTAAACCCCAAAACCCCTAAACCCCAAAACCCCTAAACCCTAAACCCTAAACCCGAACCCCTAAACCCCAACTCCAGATCCCAGAGGCGAGCATAGAGTCGGAGAGCCTGAGAAAGGCCCCCATGCCTGGGGTCTAAGGCTCTAAGGCTTCGGGGGTTTAGGGGTTCAGGGGATTAGGGTTTAGGGGTTTAGGGGTTTAGGGGTTTAGGAGTTTAGGGTTAAGGGTTTAGGGGTTTTAGGGATTTTAGGGGTTTTAGGGGTTTAGGGGTTTAGGAGTTTAGGGTTAAGGGGTTTAGGGTTCAGGGGTTTAGGGTTTAGAGGTTTAGGGATTCAGGCTTTAGGGGTTTAGGGGTTTAGGGGTTTAGGGGTTTAGGGGTTCAGGAGTTAGGGTTTAGGGTTC